ATGTAATTTCTTCCTGCTCAGTTTGAGTCAGCCAGCAAAGATAAAGTCAGAGATGTACGGAGGAGTGTTCATAAAACAGGAGTTCAGCATTTCTTAAATACAAAGAGCTAGTGGTGCACTCTTGCCTGAAAGATAGTTGAAATTCTAGGTATAGTACATCCTGATAGATATGAAATCTTTGACTAAAAAGATGTGGCTAACCAGAGACTTACCATTTCATCCCTAGGCTTTATTCCTACACTGCTCTGTTCTGGAACAGGCAGTTCACATTGAGGATCATGAAAGGGGAAATCTTTTAGACTAACTTTAAAAAGCAACATCTTATTTACTCTCAATTATGGTCTTTATTTAGCATTAATTTTTAAAATATAACCTCTGCTAACAACTGCAATTTGATTATAAAAATATTTTTCTTTATAATAAAGACTTAAAATGAGCAGTTTTTTTTAATATATATATATAGTCTTTCCAAAAAAAATTGTTAATACAGTAAAGGTCAATAACAGGTAATAGCCTATTTACTATATCCAAAGGAAATTGACTCACAGGAAATCAAATTAACATTAACCACTTGCGCCAAATGATCTCTGATAAATAGAACTACCTGACTATTTCAGTTAGTGTATCTAGGCAAAAGAAGGTATAACTAGCACAACGATTCATCCTAAATTGGTGCAGTGCAGATGCAAACGCTGTAAAATAGTTGACTATCACATTTACTTTTCAGTCAGCTGCTTGTGCCCATAGGGGTTGATTTGGCAGCGAAATGATTATTTGCATGATTCAATTAGCTTGTGGGTCAGCTTTTCTTACCAACAGTCCCTGTGCTAAGTAATTTTGTGACGTATCTTTGTTTCCTCCCCAAAACACAGTGAACACAATTTATCTTCCTCATTGTTCCAGACACCCATGTGCATCAGTCAACACAACTTTTGTGTTTGTTTATCACACAGGCACAATTACTGGCGCACTCTTCATCAGTTTTAGAAATCACAATTGCTGCTTTGGCTACAGAGGGCTCATTTAAATAAATAAGTAAATACCGTCCTCTGCAAAGCATTCGTTACCAATTAATCAACGTTGGAGCAAGGGGGTCTGTAGACCTCAGAAGACCTCCTGTGTGCCGAAGAAATAGAACAAAACAATATACATGTGCTAATGGAGCTCTCAAACGCCACACACTCTTGTGTTCCTACTAGAACTCAATGGAAATAGTATTTGAAATGTAAAGTGTGTCAGCGGAGGCTCAGGCAGCATAACGAACACACAGACGTCCCTCATCTTGATCACATCGTTGCTGGCCACAGGCAAAAACCTGTCATATACTGATGAGGTTCATAGGAAGGCCATCAACAACCTTTGGGCCGCACTTGCATGCCCTGTGCCCATCGGGCATCATTAAAGTGCTTCTTTACAACATTAAGGCTGTGGGTCCTTTGAATTACAAGTGCAATTTGGCCTTTCCTTATACTGGAGAACAGTCACGTGGTTACATGGCAAATAATACAAATGTTATCCTTGAGGATTGCTCACACATCAGAAAGGTTTCCTGAAAGGACCAGTATGAGACTAAGGCCTTTGGATGGTCTGGTGTTTTTCCTAGTAGCTAAATGCTGAAAGAGCTGGGCTAAGCCTAACTGAGTAATAATCACTTTGGTAAGAATTCGGCCAAAGCTTATTGGTCCTGTACATGGAGCTGAGTTTTCTGATCAGCAGTGAGGTCCTCTCAGGTGCTATGGGCTGTGTACTCTGAGTGTGGGGTGAAGGGCTTCCTTTGCTCCCCAGAAGTGGTGCTGTTTAGCAGTTACATCTTAAGGCCATTTGTCCAGGTTCTTACCTGTCCATAGTAATGATAGTTATTCTAACCAAAATGGCTTTGGAGTATTGTCTCATCAGTGCCTGGTGGCCATCACTTGGGAATGCTAATGGGCATTCCCTGCTTGAGGGCCCCTTTGTGCTGTCATGGCATTGAAAAGGGGCACTAGTATAATGCGAATCAGGCCCTCATGTCTTGAGCTGGAGATGGACATACCCTAACCCTAATATTCCGCTGGGATGATCATTTTGCAGCCAATTTGCTTTGTACTGGGGTCTTGCAGAGCGACACTCAGGCTGAGATTTTCAAAGGGGTCTATGTAACTTAATAATAATACTAAACCTCCTGGCTCTTACACGGCACGTCCCACCAGTCGATCCCAAAGAGCGTTGCAGAAGGAGGGCAGGATCATTAACCCCATTTTGCAAATTGGGAAACTGAGCCACATAGCAGGGCAGTGACTTGCCCAAGGTCGCCCAGCAGTCGCGGGGGCAGAGTCTGAACTAGCCTAGGTATGCTCCGTGCTAGTCCTATGCCCATCCACTAGGCCACACTGTGCAAGCGGCTGAATCACGTCGGTGCTTTTGGAAAGCCCAGCCTGCAGTCAGACCCTCTGGAGGACGAGCAGGAGCAGCAGAGTCTGATCGCCAGGGGAGGAGGTCCCTGAAGGTTGATGCTGGTTCCTGAGGTAACATACAGGAGGAGGAAGAGCGCACGGCCAGGGCAATGCACTGAAGAAGTGCTTAGGAGCCCTGAGTGTCTTATAAGAGGATTTGTGAAGCGGCCCCAGCAGCCAGGGCGACATGTTTGAGGACATTTACATGGAGCTCTCTTACAAGCTACTTAGCTCTTGGAGAGAGAGCGTTCAAGTGTTCCTTGCAGTGCTTACGACTTGCAGAGTGCCTTGAGTAGCAGTTGCAGACTTTCCACATACAGCAGGAAGGAAAACACAACAAACATTTATGTGCCAAAATCAAAGCAGCAAATGATTTTTCTGCTTTGGCTATTCAGACCTCAAACTCCTGGCCCACGGCTCCCTGTGTCTCTGACCTCAGCCGCGGTGAGGGCTGCTCTGTCCAGAAAGGGCCGAGGCAGGGAACCTAAGGAAGTCCAGCCAGGAGGAAACATGGGGCTGGTCTAGCCGGAGAAGTGCTGCAGACACTGTGAACCTGAGCATTAAACTGCTGGAGACTAACTACCATTTAAAAGCCACACAGCTCCAGTGATGGCATTAAACATGCCAGGGCTGAAATTCACAGCATTACCCTGAACTTGTGTGTCTTGCAAATGCAAATGGGAGTGTCAGCTCTATGCTGCTGATGCCGATATTTATGCCATGTATTGCCACCGTGATACAAATAACTCCAACTAACAGGAAATGTTTTCAGTTTGTGTTAATAAAAATACATCTTTTTAAAGACTGGAATTCTTCAAAGATTGGCAAATTTTATTTTAATTCATTAGCTTTAATGTCACTGCCATATGGACTGTGAAGAAAAGTGAACCCTCAGCTCAGAGTTCTCCGCATGACACACAACGCACTATACAATTGTTAAGGATAAGCCCTGGGAGTGATTTATTGCTTGCATTGTATTAGCCACAGAGGAGTTATGATATGCTTCCCATTCCTGTATCATATTAGTATTTTATTAGTCTAATAATATATTATATTACCGTATCATAGCAGGATTCCCATCCAGTTAGCCTTTCGCAGGTGGTTGAGGATGAGCTGGCGGGTCTGTGCACTGCGGCTGACTTTCAGGGGCAGAGCCAGGGCTTGGATGGCAGAGCTGGTGAAGTAAGGGTGCCTGTGCTTTTTGCTGAGGGACAATGGGTGCTGCATACTGAGCAGCCAGTTCTAATTTTTACAGCAGGTTTTATGTTCTCTATCCATTTGGCTCGTCAGAGCTCTGTAATGTAAACTTGTTCCTGGCCCCTAACTAAGCATGTGACACGCTACAGAGGAAAGATGCTGCTGGCTTGCAAAGTGACTGGGATAGTAAGGCAACAGCTACTGCTCAGGGCCCACTGGCCAGCTCAGTGACATTCTCTGCAACTTAGGAGGTTGGACAAGAAGTCTTAGGCCAGACAGGAGCTCCCATCGATCGCACGCTAGAGGCAGGCCAGTAGGGGGCTCCCGTCGAGCGCGCTAGAGACAGGCCAGCAGGGGGCTCCCGTCGAGCACGCTAGAGATAGGCCAGCAGGGGGCTCCCGTCGAGCGCGCTAGAGACAGGCCAGTAGGGGGCTCCCGTCGAGAGCGCTAGAGGCAGGCCTGTAGGGGGCTCCCGTCGAGAGCGCTAGAGGCAGGCCTGTAGGGGGCTCCCATCGAGCGCACGCTAGAGGCAGATGAAAAGTGAAGCATGCAGCAGAGCTCACCTGGAATGAGGGCAGGAGAGTAGCCTGAACCGGCTTCTAGTACACACCTGCAATGGGCTCTAGTACAGCCCCAAGGACAAGGAGTGTACCCCTGGAGCGGCTCTAGCCAGAGTGCTGTAGTATGGGTGTCGTTACCCAGCCTCGCTAGGCAGGGAAATCTTTGGTCTCACTCTTCAGAGAGCAAAACCCTGCAGGAGATGGCGAGCTATTTGCAGGACTAAAGTGGGGTGCTGTGCTTAGCTGTGGCTGGTGAATAGCGTTGCTGTAGGGAAGATGTGGCTCCCCTAAGCTCTCTGAACCTTAGCTCCAGACACCCATTTCTGGGACTGAAGCGTACCGTCCTCCCCACCTAATCTACAGCACAGTGCATGCGGTTTTCTGTGCACCTACAGCAAGCTCAAGCCTGGAGGGAAGCGTCAGCTGCAGAAGACAAATCCCCAGCCCTCACCTAGACTCACACAGCACCTTGTCCTTGTCCTTATTGCCAGGAGTGATGGTGGCCTGGGTACGGCTGGGGAGCCCCACAGGTGGGGGAGTGAATTAAAAGGTAACACTGCTTGGTTCATGTTCTTCGTCTGCTGGGGGAGACCCCCCCAGCACACATGGGGGAGTGCCCAGTTTAACTCGAGCTTTTCTTGCGCCGTTAGAAACAGATTTTCTTTTCTCCCTTCCTCGGGGCACTGGATTTCCCACGGGTGCCCCCCAGCTCAGAACACACAGGGGGCCATTTCCCCTGCGGTGCTGAGGGCTCTGTCCCTGGGCCATGCTCTGGCGT